GGGGTTTATTAACGATTTTTTGGGGATTTTTTGGTTTTTTTGGGGTTCTTTAACGACTTTTTAGGGGTTTATTAACGATTTTTTGGGGGTTTTTAAATGATTTATTTAGGGGTTTAATAATGATTTTTTGGGTTTTTTTGGGAGTTTTTTTAGGGGTTTATTAACGACTTTTTGGGAGTTTTTTGGGGTTTTTTTAGGGGATTATTAACGATTTTTTGGGGTCTATTTTTGCTTTTTTTAGGGGTTTATTAACCTTTTCTTTTGGTTTTTGGGAGGTTTTTTAGGGTTCTTTTTTAGGGGTTTATTAACGATTTTTTGTGGGGGTTTTTTGGGGTTTTTTTACGGGTTTATTAACTTTTTTTGGGTTTTGGGGGGGTTTTTTAGGGATTTATTAACGAATTTTATGAGCTTTTTTTGGTTTTTTTTTTAGGGGTTTATTAACGATTTTTTGGGGTATTTTGGGGTTTTTTTTTAGGGGATTATTAACGATTTTTTTTGGTTTTTGGGAGGTTTTTTTGGGGTTCTTCTTTAGGGGTTTATTAACGGTCTTTTTGGGGGTTTATTAACGATTTTTTGGGGTTTTTTGGGTTTTTTGTTAGGGGTTTATTAATGACTTTTTTGGTTTTTTGGGGGGTTTATTTTAGGGGGTTTTTAACGAGTTTTTGGGGGCTTTTTTTGGGTTTATTAACGATTTTTTTTGGGTATTTTTGGGGTTTTTTTTAGGGGTTTATTAACTTTTTTTTTGTTGTTTTTTTGGTTTGTTTTTTGTTTGTTTGGTTGGTTTTTTTAGGGGTTTATTAACGATTTTTATGGGTTTTTTGGGGGGTTTTTTTAGGGGTTTATTAACGATTTTTGAAGGTCTTTTTTGGTTTTTTTAGGGGTTTATTAACAATTTTTTTTGTTTTTTGGGAGGTTTTTTAGGGTTCTTTTTTAGGGGTTTATTAACGATTTTTATGGGGTTTTTGGGGGGGTTTTTAGGGGTTTATTAATGATATTTTGGGGTGGGGTTTCTTTGGGGTTGGGGATTTTTGTTGGGTTTTGGGCCTTTTAGAGATTTTTTTGTTTTGTTTTTTTTCTGTTTTTTTGGGGGCCTTTTAGAAATTTTGTTTTTTGTTTTTTTGGGGTTTTTTTTGGGGGTGGTTTGGGGTGGTTATTTTGGGGCAGAGATTTTTGGGGTTTTTGGGCCTTTTAGAAATTTTTTTATTTGTTTTTTTTGGGTTTTTTTGGGGGGGGGAGGTTTGGGGTGGTTTTTTTGGGCCTTTTTGATTTCTTTTTTTTGGTTTTTTTGGGTGGTTTGGGGTGGTTTTTTTGGGGCTTTTTGGGCCTTTTTGATGTTTTTTTTTGTTTTTTTGGGGTGGTTTGGGGTGGTTTTTTTGGGGGGGGAATTTTTGTTGGTTTTTGGGCCTTTTAAAGATTTTTTGGTGGTTTTTAGAAATTTTTTTATTTGTTTTTTGGGTTTTTTTTTGGGGGAGGTTTGGGGTGGTTTTTTTGGGCCTTTTTGATATTTTTTTGTTTTTTTTGGGGTGGTTTGGGGTGGTTTTTTTGGGGGGGGATTTTTGTTGGTTTTTGGGCCTTTTAAAGATTTTTTGGTGGTTTTTAGAAATATTTTTATTTGTTTTTTGGGGGTTTTTTTTTGGGGAGGTTTGGGGTGGTTTTTTTGGGCCTTTTTGATTTCTTTTTTTGGTTTTTTTGGGTGGTTTGGGTTGGTTTTTTGGGGCTTTTTGGGCCTTTTTGATATTTTTTTGTTTTTTTGGGGTGGTTTGAGGTGTTTTTTTTGGGGGCTTTTTGGGCCTTTTTGATATTTTTTTTTGTTTTTTTGGGGTGGTTTGGGGTGGTTTTTTGGGGCTTTTTGGGCCTTTTTAATTTCTTTTTTTGTTTTTTTGGGGTGGTTTGGGTTGGTTTTTTTGGGGGTTTTTGGGCCTTTTTGATTTTTTTGTTTTTTTGGGGTGGTTTGGGGTGGTTTTTTTGGGGCTTTTTGGGCCTTTTTGATTTTTTTTTTGTTTTTTTGGGGTGGTTTGGGGTGGTTTTTTGGGGGCTTTTTGGGCCTTTTTAATTTCTTTTTTTGTTTTTTTTGGGGTGGTTTGGGGTGGTTTTTTGGGGGGGGGATTTTTGTTGTTTTTTGGGCCTTTTAAAGATTTTTTGGTG